GCCGCGCAGGGCTCTCCGACGTGCTCGCGTGGCTGGCGCAGCCGGAGCCGCTTTTCGGGGGGCCTGGGGCGCGCGACCGCGCCGGGTTGACCGCCGCGGGCCGCCCGCGGGGCACCTCCGAGGGCCCCCCAACGGCACGGTGTGGTGACCACGCCGCTCTGCACGCGCGCGCCCGCGCCGCGGGCGCAGCGGCAGCTCTCTCCCTCCCCGCACCCCGTGTGAAAGCATCGGCCCCTGGGCCACCCGACCCCTTCGCGAGGCGCTGTGTTGTTCGCGCCGGGCCGTGTTCTGCGGACGGGCCGGGAGGCCGAGAGCAGCCCATGCCCCCCATGATGGTCGAATTTTCCACCACCACCACCACTACCATAGGTAGGACGGGGGAGAAGGAGGATAGGGAGGTCCTCCTCCTCCTCCTCCTCCTGCTCCTCCTCCTCCTCCTCCTCCTCCTCCTACCTCTCCTGCCAGCGGATAATCAGCCCATCATTCCCAGGGGTGCCGACAGATACGGAGCACGGGTCGTCTTTCGGGCCCCCCATGCAGGGAGCGACCAAAACGCGTGGTGAGTCAGGCGGGATTTGGGGTCACCAGCGGAGGATGTCTCGGGCGACTAGGGCTCCGAGGTCCCACGGTGACGGACCGCGTGGTGCGGTCTCTTGGGATTTCGAGGTCTCCACACTGTGTGTCACCACTCCGTTTTGGAACCCCCAAGGGGCACCTCCAGGGGCCGCCACGAGGGCGCGAAGTTATTCGCGGTTCGCGGTCCGCGACTCCTCATCTTCATCCTCTTCGTCCTCCTCTCTTTCCCCCGGGGGGGCGGCGCCATAGCGCGAGTGTAGACGCGTGTCCCGCAGCGTGAAGCGCGAACAAAGCTGCCCGTGCAGATCCACGGATCAGTAGTCCGTGTTGGCGTGTGCCCGACCCGAGGACCGCCAGGGACCGCCGAGAACCACCAGAGACCGCCGAGGACAGCTGAAGACCGCCGACGGCCCGAAGGATAGCAAAGGGGTCCATATCCGAACGCGTGATCTGGTTACGCTGCTACACACATCCGTCGCTGCGCTGGGGGTGGTGGCCAGGAGCAACGTTCGGTGGGACAAGGCTCAGGTGGGGGGGGGCGCCGCATCGACCCCCAGCCGCCCACTCATCGCCGATGGGGGCCTGATGGCCTGCCCCGCCCAGGAGCGTGCGGATCCGCTATCGGGGTCATATTGCCCATCTATCGGCGATGCCTCGCCGATTCCAGGTCGATGTTCTCATCCCTCCCCTCAATCGTTCCCCCTCAGGTGTGAGAGGGGTGGAAGGAGGGCGGTACAGGGAGAGGGGGGCGATCCACGGCCGCTGGCGCGACGGAGAGGGGCCTGCGGGCCCCATCAGAAGACAGTTGGCGGGCCATCGGCAACGCCGCTCGGCACTCTCTGCGCGCGTGCTTGCGCCGCAGGCGCAGCGGCGGCTCTCTCCCTCCCCGCACCGCCGCCGCCGTGTCGTCTCGAGACACAGGTTTGTTCGAGGCGACTGCTGTCTGCCAGCAGGAAAATTGGCACAGACACGAATTCACCTCGATCCCCAGGAGCATGTATGACAATATGGGGAGTGGAGGGGAAGACGAAGATGTTGAAAATATGGATGAATGGAGATTCCTCGGAGTTGTGTCCAGCTGTTTCAGTATCCTTGGATCCCTTTAGTCTGGTCCCCCGGGCCCGCTGCGAGGGCCACATGCCCGAGCCGATGCTGGAGCAGAAGGACGTCCACGGGGCCACGGCCGCTTACTACGCCCACCACGCGGGGGTCCCGAAGGTGCCGCGCCGCGCCCGCCCAGCGCGCGCGCCGCCCGCCGTTCATGGGGACGCGCGCCACTCCCGCCCCAGAAGCGGCCCCAGTTCGCCCAGCCCCGCGTGCACGTGGGAGACCGGGTGTTGCTACATGGAAACCAGAAAAAGTCATTGGGGCCAGCCCTTCCACTCTTTCCAGCCCTGGCCAGTTTCCCTTGCTCTTTTCCAGCCCTGGCGACCGCATCCCTGCTGTTTCGGGTTCGCTTCATCCACTGCCAGTTTTGCCAGCCCTGTTCACTTCCTCTTTCACCGGCTTTCCAACTTCCATTTGGTCCAGCTTCCCTGTAGAGGTGGCCCTGGGTCAAGGTGACCCCATCTCATCCAGGGAGGCCCAGGTGGCCTCGAGAAGACTGCTTTATCCGGCTGCCTGCGGCAAACCCCGCCACCGTGCCTGAACAACAACGCAGCAGGACGGAGACTCAGTGCAGGAACAGCGCAATTCGCACGAGTGGTCTGAATCGGGACGACTCGTGATCTCGATCTCGTCTTCGTCCGCGCGGTAGACAGGAGGTCGAGTTCATGCCCCACGGCAGTTCAGCGAGTGGTCTGCACTGGGGAGGGTCGCGATCTCGACATCATCATCGTCCGCGCGACAATGAGGAGGAGGAGGAGGAGGAGGAGAAGAAGCAGAAGGAGGAGGGGAGGAGGAAGATAATAATGACAAGGAGGGACAATCCTCTTCGGGGCTCTCTGGGGGCCTCCTGGGAGCCTCCTGCTGGGCCTGTCGGGGGCCTCTTGTGGGCCTCCTGCGGCCTCCTGCGCCCTCTTGAGGCCTCTTGGTGCTTCTTGGGCAGCGTTAGGGAGGCTCTTGGCCCGTCTGACGCCTTCGGGGGCCGTCTTGGAGGCTCTCTCGGCCGTCTTGGGTGCCATCTTGGAGCGCTTTAGCGTCGTCTTTGGGGCCCTCTTAGGAGCCTCTTGAGCGATCTTGGAGTCCTCTTTGGCTTGGGCCGACTTGGGGCCCTCCTGGGGGCCTCATGGATTTTCCTGGAGCTATCTTGGAGGCCCTAATCGTTTTGTAAACATGGTTGCTGCTATCTACGAGAGCCGCGTTTTCGAGGTCACCGACTTCGGCGCAACGTCACAAGAGAGAAAGCAAGAGTACGGAATTTGCCAAGGATGCCCATCGTCACCGTTCCTATTTACAGTTGTTCTGACTACGCTTCTACACGATGCTCTCAGAGAGCTTCGCCAAAGACGAGGCCAACCTGTTCCGGAAGAGTTGGTCCGAGATCTTGTCTACGCGGATGACACGCTGCTGTTCGGCGCCAGCGCAGAGGCTGTGCAGGAGCTGATGACATATGTGGAGAAGTTCGGGGCAAACTACGGCTTGCAATTTAACTGGAAGAAGGTGCGCACAAACGATGGCATCTCGGACAACGCTGGCGCTCCTCTCGCCAATAAGCATTCCATCGTCTACTTGGGCACGTCGATCTCTGCCGACGGTAGATGTGCGTCGGAATTGTCCCGCAGAACCGGAGCAGCAATGCAAGACTTCAGAGTACTACACAAGATTTGGTCTCACGCTTCGTTGACGTGTGCGTTGTAACCAAATTCATGTACGCCCTCTTCACGGCGTGTCTAAACCAGGACGAGCGTCGACGTTTAGACGGCTTCCAAAATCGCTGTATCAGAAAGGTTTGCAGAGTGCTTCCGGCATACATCAGTAGAGTGTCGAAAGCCACCGCGCTTGGGATCGCTGGCCAGACGAAGCTCAGCGACGACCTCGCGAGACGGCAGATGATATTCATGGGCCAATTAGCGCGCCGACCCGGCCAAGACCCTGTGTGACGCTCGGTGTTTGAACCGGGCACCCTGGTGCTGCGTAGGGTCGCCGGCCCGAGAAAGCGGGGCAGACCGAGGCAGACATGGGGCCATCTAGTTTGGAATAACTGTCTCAAGGTTGCCGGCTCCCGCGAGCGACTCGCTGCCTACTTCCACCAAGACGGTGGTGCAGCTCAAGTTAGAGCGTGGGTGCGTGCGGTGAAGGCTTGGGCCAGAAGCTGAAGGCATTCTGGCGGCATTTGGTGATTATTTCCGATACGTTTCACCCCTGCTCACGCACCGTCTGGTGCAAGGTGTACTTGACTTGACTATCTTGGAGGCCCTTTGAGCCGTCTTAGGCGCTCGGAAGCCCGAACAGGCGAGAACCTCAAAATCTGCCAACAAAATTGAGGAGATTAGTTGGGCCTCCTCGGGCTCTCCTACAGGGTCTCGCGAAGCCCTTAGGCCGTCTTGGAGGTATCTTGGGCCTCTTGAGGCTGTCTTGAGAGCCTCTTGAGCCGTCTTGTGCCATCTTGAGCCGTTTTGGTGCCGTCTTGGTTGTCTTGGCTGTCTTGGAGGTCATCGCGGCCGCCTGGAGGCTGACAGGCGCGCCGGCGAGCAATTTCAGGAGAGGCGATTTCAAAATCACGCCCGCGAAATCACGAGCGCTGGGATCATTTCCAGGGGGAGATCGGCCTCGGAAAGCAACGAACACTCCTCGGGCAACAGACAAGCAAGGTAGCTCGCCCACGCCGTGCAGGCACAGTGGTGGATGATGTGGCACGTAGCGGTCGTTGCCCGGGCCAAGCCAATTCCCCCAGGGCAATTGCAACGATCGTGCGGTAGGTTCGCGTCGTGTCGATGGGCGGCGACCCCCTTTGCCAGCGTTCAACGTTGAACGCCGCGGGCGACCCAGAATCGATCGATGTTGAACGATCGGACGTTTCGGGAATTGCCGATCGTTCAAGGTTGAACGATCCCCGCGGTGTCGGGGCCCAGCGCCGGGGTCGACACTGCACAAATCTGCCGTGCACGTAGGGGGGGTCTTGAACCCCTCCCCCACACATTTGTTGCTCGCGCGCAGACTGTGGCGATCACAACGCACCTCCGCCCCGACGTGCCCCACCCCGCCCAAGCAGTGCCGTTATGCTGGCCCCCCCACCCCGGGGGAACGACCCTCGCCAGAAATATTACAAAACGGCATTTCCAGAGTGCCCTTCGCAAGGCTTGGAGCGCGCCAGTGGCGCCACGGTGGCGCGACAAGCTGGGAACCCCTTCGGGGCCCCGCGGGGCCCTCGCTGTGCGGAGGGGCGCCCAGCCCTCCTCTCGTCGGCGTTTTACGACCCTTAGCCCCTGGTGCAAGGCGGCCCAAGCACGCACGCAGCCATCGCTGCCAGCAGGACGGCAGTGCCGTCAGGCCATCGTTGCTATTAATCCTCTCGCTGCGGAAGCTGCTGCGTTTTCTAAGTTTGCGCCTCCATAGGCGCCGCTCGAGCCAGGTCTCCATATGCGAGTGACGTTCGGACACTTGTGCGGAGCGTAGGAGATCAATTCTCGGTCCCTGCAGGGACGCGGCCCTCCCGGGCCCCTTTGGGTCAGAGATTCGAGAGATGATTCGAGAGCCGTTCCTGGTCAAGGAGTCAAGGCCCTCTGGGAGTTCACGGTGTAAAAAAAGTTAGCCAGCGTGGACCCCAAACAACAGTTGCAGTCTACGCGGTGCAACCGAAGTGGTGCAATGTATGCGATGCAACCGATGCAATGCACTATGCAGTGTAATATACGTGGTGCAATCTACGCGTTGTTACCAATGTAATGCAATCTATGCGGTGCAATCAACGTGGTGCAGTACACGTGGTATACTCTACGCGGCGCAACATGTGCAATGCAGTCTATGCGGTGCAACTTACGTGGTGCAATCTACGCGATGCTACCATTTCATGCAATGTACGTGGTGCAATCTATGCGGTGCGATCTATGTGGGGCAATCAACGTGGTTCAACTTGCGTAATCCAATTTATGCGGTGTAATGTATGTGGTGTTATCTACGCGGTGCAATCTACCCGTGCAACATATGTAATGTAGTCTATGCGGTGCAACCTACGTGGTGCAATCTATGTGGTGCAATTATTCTTTGACCGTCTTGAAACTGCCCTCCCCACTGCTCGTGTAAACATCCCACCCTCCCACCCGCAACTTGGTCGCAAGACCTCTTAAGACAAGACCGTGACGGTACGTACCACATGACACTTGGCCACCATTCCGACGCCGACGACGACAGCGACAACGACGACGACGGCGCCGCCGACACCGACTACGACGACACCGACGACGTCTCCAACTTCTTCGACGACGACAGCGACGACACCGATGACAACGACGACGACGACGTCAACGACGCCGACGACGAAGACGACGACGACGGCGATTACGACGACACCGACGGCGTCTCCGACGACTTCGACGACGACAACGACGCCGACGCCGACGACAACGAAGATGACGACGACGTCGCCAACGAAGACGACGACGAGGGAGTAGGAAGGACGACGACGGCGACAACGACGACAACTACGACAACCACGAGGGAGGAGGGAGGATGGCGACGACGCGAACGACGAAGAAGGAGAAAGGACGGCGGCGCCGACGACGACAACGACGAGGGAGGAGGGAAGACGACGACGACAACGGCGACGACGACGACGGCGACGAAATAGGAGGGACGACGACGAGACGCCGACGACGGACGACGACGACGACGAGGGAGGAGGAGGAAGGACGACCACGGCAACAACGACGACAGAAACGACCACGACGCCAAAGAGGACGACGACGACGAACACGAGGAAAGACAGAGGACGACGTAGGCAACGACGACGACGACGCGGGAGGAGGGAGGACGGCGACGACGACGTTGACGACGACGACGCAAGAGCGCGCGCGCACGCTTTTGTGGAAAATTCGTTTTGCGAAACCTTGCGTTTTTTTCTTAGGTTTTTTGGACACACGATTTTGAAATCCTTCCGAAACCGATGGGTTTTGAAGGTTTTCGGCTTACGCGCGCGACGACGCGCGCGTCTGCACTTCGTCCCGTTTTTTGCAGAGGATTCTCGCGACGGCACACGCGCAAGGGCGTTCGACAGATTTCGACATGCGCGCGAGAAACCCGTTTAATAGCATGCTGTAAAAATATTGAAAACCGATGGTTCTATCAAGATTTCGCAAGAGCTCGCGCGGAAGCTTGTTTTAGCAAATCAGTGTTGCGAAACCATGTGTTGTTGTATGTTTGTTTTGGAAACTCGATTGCGATATCCTTCCGGCACCGAAGGTCTTTGAAGGATTTCCGCATGCGCGCGCGACGACGCGCGCGTGTGCACGTCGTCCTTTTTTTGCATGGGATTCGCGGAAAAAGGTGTTATGTTAGAACAAAAAAGACAGCGCATAGTGTTTTTTTTATATATATAAAAAAAAGAGGGGGCCCTCAGGGGGGGATACCGGTTGGCCTGGGACATTGCGATTTCATATTTAGGATGGACATGTGGTCAGAATCATATATGATTTACATACCCGAAAGGGGGAGTGATAACGCCATGGGGGGTAGATCCTATTCTGTTTTTAGAAACGAGAACTGATGTTTACCCATGGGTTGACACATCCCATACTCTCGCAAACATCCCACCCACCCACCCGCAACTTGGTTTGCAAAACCCATGCGGTGGCGATTGCGATGCATGCTTGGCGTTGGCTGGTGCATCTCTGCGGCCGCGCCACCGACGCGGCCGCGGTGGCGCTGACCGCTGGACGCACCCCAGCAGGCACTTCACTGCGAGTCGGCGACTTGGGCGGGCGCGGTATCATGGGAACGCCGACTACGGTAGACGCGATGATGATGGTGGGGATGTTGGTGACGATGTTCGCATCGACGAAGGCGCGGCCAGTGCAGGCGCCGATGCTGATCACGCCGTCGACGATGACGGCGCCCTCGCGTCGGTGATGAAGGTTTTGGGGAAGAGTTCGACATGCGCGCGCGGCCGACGCGCGGAAGTGGCCCGCATTGTTTTATTTGACGCGGATCGTGCCCCCCCCAACGCGCGCCCAAACGCGTGCGAAATATGTCCGCACGCGGCGTCAGAGACCCGTTTGGCAGAATTCTATGAAAATGAAGAACCTATGGTGCCTTAAGAATTCGCAAGAGCGCGTGCTCATTTTTTTTGAAAACTGATGTTGCGAAGCCTTGCGTTTTTGGTCAAAACAGAAACTGTGTGTTGGGCCATCCGGTTTTGAAATCGCTACGCAATCGAAGGTTTATGACGGTTTTCGATATGCGCGCGACGACGCGTTTGTGTGCATTCCGCCCCACCGTTTGCAACATATTCTCACGATAGCACGCGCGCAGGAAAAAAACGTCCGTACGATGTCGACATGCATGCGCGAAGCCCGTTTGGTATAATGTTTTGGAAATGTGAATCACACAACGTATGGTTTAAGAGTTCGCAAAAGCGCGCGCGTTTTTGTTGTTCTTGTTTGTTGTTGATCATCCGTGTTATACGACCATTGGTTTTCAAACGGTTGACACTCGATATTGAAATCCCTTCGAAACCGAAGGTTTTGAAGGATTTCGGCATGCGCGCGCGACGACGCGCGCGTGTGCAATTCGCCCCGTTTTTTGTTGCAAAGGGTTCTTAACAACTGATGGTTATTGGTAAACGAGTGTGCGCGCATAGTTTGTTGCAGAGGATGGCGGGGGGGGGGGGGTCGATACCAGCTCGGCTGGGACGGTATGAGTTCATATTTCGGATGGATGATGGGGCACAATCGTTTGTAAATCGCAATACGGGAAGGTGGATCGATACAGCCGGGGGGGCGGGGAATTAACCGCTCTCCCGTCCCAGGTCCCTCTTGGCTAACGGCTAACAGAAACGCAGCGAGGCAGGATGACAAAACCCAGGGATGTGTCCAACTATAGCCCCTTGTTGAGAATGGTGCAGCCATTCATCCGTGGAAGTGTTGCGCAATGTCACAGTTCCTTGCGTTCGGGAGCGCACGTCTTGGGCGAGGTGCCCCTTGTGACCAGGAGGCCCTTCATCCGTGCAGCTGCTGCACACTTCCGCCCCCGTCCTTATAGCTTGGGGGAAAGTTTGACAAACGAGCGTGCGCAGCGCTGGGGCAAGAGCCGCATATTGAAAACGAACCTGCCTCCATCCTTGCAGCTCTTGGAAGCTTGAAACAAATGCGCGCGACGCCAAGGTGCGAGATCCGCAGCTGGAAAGCGGCGGATCCACCATCCGTGTATGTGTTCGAGATGTTTGCCGCATGGGAGTATACTGCAAAGGGGCGCTCAGCCGAATGCCCACCTTGGCCTACGGACGCGCTTTCTGATGCGACAGAGGAGGGGCGTTGAGGATGAGGAAGGGGGGAGGAAGATGAGGATGAGGAGGAAGAGGAGGCGGAGGAGGAGGAGGAGGCGGAGGACGACGACGAGGTCAAGGACGACGAAAGGGAGGACGACGAGGAGGAGGAAGACGAGGAGGAGGAAGACGAGGAGGAGGAGGAGGAGGAGGACTCTGGCAGCCATCAGAGGGTCCTCTTGGTGCCCTCTTGGGTTTCTTTTGGTGGGGGTGTGCCAGGTTGTGAGGGCGAAGGCCCCCGCGCCAGCATAGGCGCAGTCTCCCAGAAGAGGAAAGGACCATTCCCCCATCGGCGGCGAGCGAGGAGGCCAAATGAGCAGAAGAAAACCTTCTTTTCTGGCGGGTGGTAATGGGGGGGGGCCCAAATGGAGGGTGAAGAGAAAGACCCTAAAGGGGCTCTTCACTGCCCTTTTTGGGCACTCGTTGGCCCCAAAAGTGGCCCTAAAAAGCCCCTTCAGGGTTCTTTTCTGCACCCTCCATTTGGGTCACCCCAATTACCACCTGCCCGGTTCTCAGAAGGCGGCGGCGCTTCTCAGAAGCGCGCCGGCCTTCTGAGAGTTTTTTGTGCCTGCGGAAACGGCGCAGGAAACTTCTCCGAAGGCTAGAGGACTTCGGAGCCTTCTGAGAAGGCCCGCCTCTTCTCACTTCACCCCCTCGCTCGCCGCCGACCCCAGTTGTGGCCAGTCGGGGTGGAGGAGGGCGCGGATCCCGAGCCTCACTCGGCAGGCTGGGCCTGCTCACGCTAGGGAGGCGGCGCGCGCGAGCCGCCGCCGAGCCCCTCCCCCCCGTCCGGCGCGCAGACCTCCCGGGCGACTGCCGGCGAGACGATGACGACGTCGACGGCGACGTCGACGGCGACGTCGGCGACGTCACGGCGGCTGCCGCGGAGGGCGGCGTCGCCGTCGGTGACGCCGCGACGATCGACGGCGACGGCGACGGCGACGAAGGCGACAACGACGACGATCGCGACGGCGATGACGACGTCGACGACGACGACGACGACGACGACGACGACGACGACGACGACGACGATGGCGCCAGTGGCGGCGGCGACGGCGACGGAGCGGGCCGCCGCGGCGCGCTGCCTCGCGGAGGAGTTCCTCATGAGGCATCGGCTGCTGAGCCTGGAGTCGCCGGAGTCGCCCGAGCGGCGCGGGGGCAGTCGAGGCCGCCGCCGCGGGTCGGCCGCAGCTCGCCACGAGTCTGGGGCCACGTTGAGGGGGGGACGCAGTCGAGCATCTGATTCAGACACCTCCCCCCGAAAAGCTGGGCCGGCGCTTCTTCACAAACTTGCCGGAAAGTTGGCACAGTTCCTTGAGCACGTTTACCCTTCCAGCTTTAGTAAACAGCAGAAGTTGGCGGCCCAGGTTTGCCTTTAGAGACTTCCGGGAAGCTGGCACAGATTCTTAACATGATAATATTATTTGTCATGTGTTCGGCTGTATTTCGGTTCTTAGCAAGTCATAGGAGCCCTTGTGTGCCCTCACATGTCCCTCTTTAGAGTGCACTAGCATCGATTTAGTGTCTTGTAGTCGATGATATGGCGCCGATATATCGTCGATTAGTGTCGATTTAGCGTCGATTCGCATCCATGAGCATCGATCAGCGTCGATTCGCAGAGACAAGAAGATAGTATGGACGGCTCCGATGAGTTGCCGCAGAAGGATCGGCTCAAGAGGGCCCGAGGCTTGAGGTTCTCGGGCTCTGATTTTCGGGACGTTTGGAGAAACTATCTGTGGCCGAGGCTCGCCGTGGCCAGAAAAGTCCCTTCGTTCCTCATTCGGCATTCCTTCTGGTGGCACGGCAGGCGGCACAGGCGCCATCGAGATTCAGAAACAACTTAAGGGAAGAGATGGGCTCAGGGAAGCTCCAGGCTCGACGTTTTCGGGCGTTGCTTCGTCGGTTCGCAGCACCTGTTCAGCCTCGGGATGCCGTCCATCGGCCGCGCCTCGCCGAGAGCTTTCTGGGGGTGCGCGAATCGTCCCGAACGGCCGTCGGAGAGCGGAGTTGTGGCCCGAAGGCCAAGGGCCAATGTTAGAGGGGGGATCGGCTCGGAGGGGGATGCATCGGGCCCCACTCGCGGATCGATCGCCGATAGGCCTGGGGCCTGATAGCCCAGTCGCGTGCGGATTCGCCCTCGGGGACCCATCGCCGATCTATCGTGTTGTATCGCCGATTCCTGCTCGATGTCTCTCAGGAGGGAAAACACAGAGACAGCGAATCGCTGATGTCCCTGAAATGCTGGAAAATATGGAGAGTGGAGGGGGGGAGACGACCATACAGAAAGTATTGGGAAATCCGCTCTTTCCGCATCGGCACGCGGGTGATCGGCACGCCGCGCGACAGCACGGACCGAGGATCAAGGGCTTCTGGAGCGTCTCTGGCTGGGCCTCCGGGGACCTGCGCGCGGACCTGCCGGTGCAGAGACTCTGGGGGCCAATAGTCGGCGTCGGCGGCGGAGACGACGATGGGGCCCCCTCCTCGACCCTGCGCCGGCCAGCAGATGAGGAGGGAGAAACGGGCCCCTCGTCGCCATCGCTGGATGCGGCTCGAACAACTTGTCAGTATCGGCCCCGGGAGGGATCTGGGGACCGAGTTCGAGTGAATTTGTTGCCCCCTCTTAACAGATTTGGCTTTTCCAGCTCAGGCCCCCTGGCGGCATCCAAAGAGGGAGGGTGTGCATGGGGAGGAGGAGGAGGAGGAGGAGGAGGAGGAGAAGGAGAAGGAGAAGGAGGATGAAGAGAAGGAGGAGAGTGAAGGAGGTGGAGGAGGAGTCGGGAGAAGTTGTTACGAGAAGGAGGAGGGAGGCGGCCAGAGGAGGGAGGAGCAAGGGGGATGCGGTGGTGGGGCCGGGTCGGGAGGAGGGAAGATGGGGGAAGATGGCGAAGGGAGGATGGATGAGGAGGAGGAGGAGGAGGAGGAGCAGGAGAAGGAGGAGGAGCAGGAGGAGGAGAAGGAGGAGAAGGAGGAGGAAGGGAAGAACGAAGGAGGAGAAGGAGGAGAAGGAGGAGGAGGAGCAGGAGAACGCGGAATGGGTGCAGAGTGAGGGGCAGATGCAGGCTTATCAGCAGGTCAAGAGTGTTGTGAAGGGGAGCCTATGAGGATGAGGAGCACGAGGATGAGCATGCAGGAGCATCTGGAGCAACAGGAGACGGAAGCACAGGAACACGAGGAGCTGCAAGAGCTTGAGGGAGCTGCAGATCTCGACCTCTTCCTGGGGACCAGCGTTTCGTCGCTGATCGTTTCTGACTGCCCCAGTCCCCAGCACGCCCCCTCTGAGGCCACACATGAATAAAACACTTGATAGGTGTCTAACGAGCGCAGAGATGTCATAGCAAACGTGTCGGGAAGCCATAAAGTGAGGTGCATCTGGGTTTCTTGGAATGTTTAACATCAACCGCGAGTTTGATGTTGGTCTGCATTGATGTGGGTGCGGTAGTCATGTGTTTGGTGAAGCATGCGAGTGCAATGCAATCGTTTGCGCCTTCTTTCGAGCGTTTCGTAAATAGGATACCCCAGACGATCGCAGTCGGTTGTGGTATGATAATTGCGTGCCAAAACTAACCAGGCATACGCCTTGCACGAACTATTGCGCTGCAGCCGTGTAAGCGACAAGTGGTTGCATTGCAATCAGTTGAGCAACAAGCGGCTTCATTGCAACTGTTTAAGCCACAAGGTAGAACTGCAACAGTTCAAGGCCCAAGCGATTACATTAAGTTTGCTCCCGACCCCTTTGTTATCGACCACTCTGCGCGCTTTAAACTGTGTTTCAAGATGGTGGAGGTGTATGGACTCGTGGGTCGAAGATCGGCCCCGGGCCCCAGGACCCGCCCAGAGGGGACGGTCTGGCGGAATTTCCGAGGCGGATGCAGCCGTCCTTCCAGGCCTCCCAGGTTTGGTCCGAGTAGGCGGGTCCGGAGGAGGTAGCGCCGCAACGCTAGTCTATCGGCGATGCGGTTCGATGCGGAGCCTGATTCTCTCCACGGCGACGGCGCCGACGTATCGTCGACGTCGCCGATGCATCGGCGATGCATCGGCAATGTGGTGCGACTCTCCGACTCCCAAATTCTTGGACCCTACTTGGGAGGCCTCCAGTTGTGGCGACGAGAAGCCTGCCCCCCCCCCCCCGAGGGCAAACGGTGACGAAAGCCGCCCAGAGTCTTCGATCCTCGAGTTTGGCGCGGTGCGGTCTGGGCCAGAGCGGCTGACCTTCTCCAAGGGGGCAGCGCGAGGGCGCGAAGATGACCGCGCGTCGCGGCGCGCGAGGCGCGATGCGCGAAGTTGGTTGTCCTCGTTTTTCGACGCGGGCGATCGGAGGAGCGAGACGTCGTTGCAATGATCACGTCCCAGGTTTTCCAAGCTCCTCCTTGTGGTCCCGCGCGGCCCAGGTACGGATGGCCGGGTGCGATTCCCGCTCCAGGGCTCTATTCCCGCGTACGATTCTTGCACGCAGGAGCACACCCTACCGCTTTTCCCGCCTGTCGTGTTGACAGAAATACATGTTCGCGTCCGCGTCTGACGCAAATGCGAGCACCCTACTGCACTTCCTGTGCGTTTCCTAGAAATCCCTCGGAATACGTAGGACAGCACGTTCTCACTAGCCGACCTCCTGCTCTTCAACCCGAATCCTCACATTCGTTGCTATTAGGGTGCGTTGCTGGTGTGCACTTAATTCGAGACGTTGGCTGTCTGGGCGCACAGGCGGTGCCAAAAACCTCCAGTCGTGTTTTTGTTTCTCGGGGCATGACGAGCATGCCTGGGGATCGATGGAGGCTCGAGGATCGATGGATCGAGGATCCGCGCTGGACTCTCCTCCCTTTCGCGCGGGCGCTGCCCGGGGGTTCCAGCGCCGATCGGAGAAATCCCGCCCGGACCCTCACGATTCTCTACCTCTCCTGCTTCTGGTAGTGGTGGTGGAGCATCGGCACATTACCCAGCGTTCCTCGAGCGACCGTCGAGCGTTCGATCCGATCCTCGAGCGATCCTCGATCGATCGATCCTCGAGCCTCCATCGATCCCCAGACAGGCCCGTGCCTGCCTCACGTGGCCCGCCTGGGCCCGCAGGCGCCGCCCCAGGCGGCCTGCAGAGGCTGCCCCAGCTGCCGGAGGTCGAGGACGAGGACGCCGAGCCCGGCCCTCTCAGCGTCCAGCGCGGCACACCGCGGCTCTCAGGCGGCACCCCAGACCCAGACCCCTTTGCGTTGCAACAAAAATCACGACGGGATGTTCTCGCTGTTTTCGGCCTCGGGGGGCCCCTCTGGGCCTCGGGACCGTCACACAAAAACGGCTCAGGATGAAACACCGGTTCCGGGGAAGGGGTCGAGTTTTTTGGGGGTCGACGTTCTGAAAAAGCGCGACGTCGGGGGTCTGCGACCGGAGGCCATTCGGGGCTCAGGAATACCGTGGGGGAGATGGGCTCTCAGGGGGTGCGAGGTTCGAGGTGTTCGGGCGTTTCCGTGAGTTTTCGGCGGCTTTCCAGCCTCGGGGTGCCGTCCAGCAGCTGCGCCTCGAGGAGAGCGTTCCGGCCTGGATCGCCCTGGACGGCCGCCAGAGAGCCGACCTGAAGCCAAGGGGCAGCGTCAGGGGGCCGAGGATAGGCTCGGGGGGGAACGGATCGACCCCCAACCGCCCCTTCGTCGCCGCTGGGAGCCCGATGGCTCACCCCGCCCAGGAGCGCGAGGTTGCGCTATCGGGGGCCTGCCGCCGATCTACCAGTGATGCACTGCCCGTTTCCCCCAAGGTTGCCCCTGACATCGAGGCAGAGGCTCGGGGATCGATCTCGAAGAAGAGAAAGAGGGCATGAGCATAGACTTTCGGAGGACCGCGAGGATTTCGGAGGTCCGACGCGGTGCTTGCTCCGGGACCCTCGAAGGGAGGCGGGCGGGAAGCATTCGTTCCCAGGCTGCCGAGCTCCTCGATCCTCCTCCTGTTCAGCTTCGACCCTCGACTAATAGCGGTCGGCAATTTCGGGATGGCGTGTCGCCACGGCGCCCCCGGCGACACGCGATGCCTGGCAAGCAGAGAGCGTGTCGCTCCGCTCCGCGGGGCGGGAGGCTCGGGACGTGGACGCCTGTGGACCGCGAAGTGGATAGCGCGTCGCACCGAAGCGTGGTGGGACAGAACCGCCAGAGCAACAAGCTCAGCGGTTTCCACGGCTCGGTCGGTTCGGCTGCGTCGCTCGAAGAAGCACACTTGTTCCGTCGCAGCGCGGCAGGGGCAATCCGCAAGCGCGTCCGAATGACACCGGGGCACAGAACCATGAATTAGCCCGCATGCAAGAGTGGAACGGGGGAAGAGGGCGGCCGCGGAGAGGCGAGCGCGAGGCGCACTCACGCAGCGAGGCAGCAGGGGGTGCGGGCGCGGCCAGTCGAAGACGCAAACTTTGACGGAACACAAATTCTCGTGGCTCCGCGCGAGTTGCTTTGTTCTGCGCTGGGGCCCCCCTGGCGGCGCGCTCCAGGGAGTGGGGTCCAGCGCAGATCCGTGTGTCGTTGCTGCGCCGCCGCCGGCTACCCTCGACCCTCATGGATTCTCGACTCGGGGACCGACGCATTGGCATCACCCCCGCACGCATACCTTCTGCCCGACCGGCTTGTTTGTGGGGTGGCGTACAAACATGGGCTTCTCTATTTTTGTTTTCCCCCCCTCGTGTCTTTTTTTTCCCCTCGGGGTGTCGTCAGGGGTGTCTGGGAGTTTTTTTTTCCCCCTCCTGAGGGGGGGGCGTGGGGGGGGGGTCTGAATCCCAAGGAGCCCGAAAGAGGTCCACGAGCAGGAAGTCCAGGGCCTCGAGCTCCTCCAAAACAGGAGCGTCAATATTTTAAGAATATTGACGCTTGATTGTCGGAACACAATCAGGGAAATGAAGAGGGCACCCGCTGCCCTCGCAATCTTTTCTGGCACGTCCCCAGAGCGCGCCACTGCCTGCGAACTCGCAGGCGCATCCAGACTGGAATTCCGCCCACCCTCGCCTGATCCGAGGTGGCGGCGGCACACTGCAATGATAACGGTAGCAGCGAGCGAGAATGAAGCACATGAAACAGACTCGATACAACTGCTAGCAACATGAGATACCCCTTATCACATTCAGACAGGGGGAAAAGAAGTTGCAGTGTGCCTGGGGCCCTGCTGGCCCGAAACTGAACAAGAACAGGAGCAGGTCTCATTCACGAAGACCTCTTCTGGAGGCCGAGCGACGGTCGTACTCTCTGGTGCTGGTCCAGCTGGTGGTGGTCCGCACTGTTGCTGTTGTCGAAGCTGGCGTCGCTTCTCGATGACCTCTTTGGCCGACTGGGCGTCGCCGGGCGCCGTCGGCTCGAAGATGCCCTTGCCCAGCGCCGCGCGCTTCCGCGCGCTCATGAACTGCTCGTCGTAGACCAGCCGCCATTCCTGCTTCTCGAGGAACATCTTCAGCACCCTGAACGCCTGCCAATTGCCCTTGGTGAGCCCGTCCGCGATCTGCGCGTGCGAGTGGACCCACCTGACCACGGTGTTGCCCTCGTCGAGCGCGTTCCGAAGTGCCAGCGCCTCGATGGCGGTCCGGCGCTCCTCCAGGCCCCGTCCAGCCGACTGGGACCGCACCACGCCGTCGTAGAACGCCTTGCAGTCCGTCACGAGCACCGCAGGGATGGCCTTCAGGAGGGTGGCCCGCTCCTGCGTCGGCGAGCGGTTGCACAGCAGCTCCGACAGGACCATCCGCACCATACATTGTTCTCCTTCAGCATCTCCAGCTTCTTGAACTTCGGCAGCCAAACTCGAACGGGCCACGCGTCGTAGTTTCTTGGAGCCCCAGTCGAGCACTGTGAACTTCGCCTTCTCGCCCTCGATGGCCTGTGTAGTTGCGATCGCCGTCAGATGTCCTCCTTGAGAATGACCGTCGGGCCGACTGGCCCAGGCTGCATCGCACCAGGTGAACACGGCAAGGTCGTCGAGGTTGTGCCTGTAGATCTGGAGGCCCATGTGCTGGTGCTGCTTAATCATCTTCACGATGCTATTAGCCGCGCTGAACAAGTTGTGAGTCCCGCCTGGGATCTTGGACTGTAGCTCGGCCACCCACGACAACACGAAGGGCATGGTGTTCACGCCCAACCAGTAGACCTCTCCACAGAAGGCCCGCAGGATGGTCTGGTCGCTCTCGCGCAGGGTGTCCGTCGAACGGTGGCGGCCTCCATCAGCTGGTTGAACTTCTCGAATCTTGTCCGCGTAGGCGTGCTGATGAAGAAAGAAGCCCTGGTCGTTCCCCTCGATGGTGACACCGCACTGCTCGAGGCTCTTGATGGAGTCGTCGCTCATGTCCTCCCAGGTGCCCCGCTTGTAGAGCTTGCGAATCTGCTCGACGATGATCGCCCAGAGACTGTGGCTGTTGTCACCAGCCAGGATGAAGTCGTCCACATGAGCCATGGCCAACCCAATGAGACGAGAAGTCTTCGGACACCGAACTTGCCATAGACAGGGTTCCAGCTCGCACGCTTGAAGTCCCAACTTTGCGAAATCGACCTGTACGGTTGCCCACCAGTGACGAGGAGCTTCGCCGATGCCGTACCCTGGCTTCATGACCTTGAGCACCTCGCCTTCCTTGACGTTGAATGCGCGTCGCAGCACGGGATCGGGTTCAATGAAGAGGTCCTTCTCGAGCTGGTTCGCCTGAAGAAATGCCGATGTCACGTCGCCTTTGATCAACTTCCAGTGGTTCGCGGCGGCCACGGTCAGCACGATGTTGCGAGCCCGCCGGGAGGCCGTTGGACTGGCAGCGGGCTCCTTCCCGAGGTCCTTCGTCTGGCAGCCGAGGAGGACGAGCCGCGCCTTAGCCTTCCCGTCCGACTTTCTTGTGAAGGGCCAGCGTGCTCGAATGACATCTGCAGCATCCTGTGATCGTTCGGCTGGCACGGGTCGCAGTCCCTGATGTTGTTGCCAGTTGCCGACCTCCTTCGCGATGGCCACCTCGAACTCCTTCCGTTCCTCGGCGTTCATCTTGGACCAGGTCAGCTCGACTTTGTCCTTGCGGCGCTGGTTGGCCAAGAAGCTATCGGCCATGTTCGGAACCGCAATCGTCTTGGCGACCTGCTTGCCGTTCTCCTCGCAGAGGTACTCGAAGTAGACCGTCTGGAGCTCGTCGCTGCCGAGAACGATGTCCAACTTGTCCTTGTACAGGTCCACGTAGAGGTCCATGCCATCATTGGTGTCGTTCCCCTTCTGCCGCTTCTCGGGTGGTCGGTGCAGGTCGAGCTCCGGGCCGCGGTGGGTCATTCGATAGCGAGGTCGTGGTTGTGCCGACGATGCCCTTGATGATGAAGACGCCCCGTTCGGTCTCGGTGGAGCAGATGCTGCTCGTGCTGCTGGTGCCGCGGGCCCTGGTTCACCAGGAGGTGGAGCAGGTGGCTCTTCGGCAAGAGGTGCTTCAGCAGGAACTGTGGGTTGCCCTTCCTCCGGTGGAGCTGCAGGTTCGGCTTCAGGCTGAGCTAAAGATCTCGGCGTCGCCTGTGATGCGGCGGGCGCGTCGTTCGCCTCGGTGTCCGCTGAAGGTGGTAGTTCGGCAGGTTCTCCTGAAGCTGGTTCGCCCTGTCTATCGCCAGGTTCGTATTCTCGGAGTCCTGGGCGCTGATGGTCAAGAAGGTCCTCGTACGTCCCCGATTTGGCGGTCTCCAGAATCTCCGTCATCGTCTTCCCAAGGTTGGCTTGCTTCTGCAGCTCGTTGATCATCTTCTCAGCTTCCGATGCGGCTCGGAGTTGTTCGGGGGCACAGCGAATGAGCGTATTGCCATGTGAGATCCAGACCACGGATGTCGCCCGGGTCCTGCCGTCCACGTGACGCTTCTCTTGAACAAGTATTCGAGCGGGTCCGTACCAGCCTCTTTTCTTCCCAGGTCGGTTCTCACGTCCTTTGCCGTCTCGCCAGAAGTAGACCAAGTCCCCTGGGTTCCACAGCTGGTAGACACGGTTCCGGGCGTTCTCAGCATGTCGTCGCCGCTCAGCATATTCGCACTCCAGGTAGCTCTTGCGTGCGAGGAGCCGTCTCTGCTCCTGGGTCTCCCCAGAGTCGTCGTCGATGATCGCGAACGGGTTGTTCGAGGCAGACATCCCCGATACTCCCAGTACGTGTTCGAAGGGTGAGTGGTTCCCGACCTTGTCCATGGAGTTGATGGCGCCGACTGCCCAGGGCACCAGTTCGTCGACCGAGCACTCTGGATCGTGGTGGGCCATCTTTGTCATCAGGCGCTTGAACAGCTGGATCCTTCTCCCGACCTTGCCCATCAGCCAGTGAGCTTCACCAGGTGCGATCCACATCTCGATGCCGTTGTCCGATGTCCACTTGGCCACGGCTTGAGAGCAGCGGCAGCCTTCGGCGTCCAGACGTAGGAGAGAAGGTCGGCGATAGTGAGTACACCACGACTCCCAAGTGCTGATCACCTCCTTGGCTGTGCGGTTGCTGCTCCGGTCGCCCTTCTTGCCGTGATACGTGACACTGTTGAGTCCAGAGCCTTCGTCCAGGTTCAGCGTCATGAAGTGTGAGCTCTGGTCGGGAGATAACCACTCGAGACCATCCGATGCCAGTACTTCAAGCACCCCAGAGATCTCCACTCCCGAGGCCACTCGAACAGTCTTAGGTAGTTTCCCAACATGACAGCCGTGACACTTGAACTCCAGGGCTAACTTGAGGACCTGGGTCGGTGCTCCTGATGCCTTCAGGATCTTGTAGAGCGTCCTGTTGCTGGGATGTCCGAGGTTACGGTGAAGTCGAGAGAGCCGTTGTTCGATCTCGAGCGCCTCCTTTCTCGAGAGGTCGCTGTCGAGGCCCAAGCCCTTGAGCGTCGTCGCGGCGTCCTCCATCTCGATGTCCTCTGTGTCGTCCTCGGCGTCTGGCATCCCGGCGCCGTCTTCCTCTGGGATCTGCTCAAGACTCGTGGAGATCTCCATGCCGAACTGCACGCTGTCGTTCTTCTTCAGGATGTGCTTCGCCCAGGCCTTGCACAGCGCTGGCGGGTAGTAGGCCGTCTGCGCGACCACGGGACCGTCCTCGATGGCACGATGGTTGCGGTTGTCAGCACGTCCAGGTCGGTTAGAGCAGTGACGGCCCAGCTTCCCGGCGAACTCCGAGTCTGTGGAGCACACGCGCCAGCCCTTCTTCATCAGTAGCCCAGAACGCACGTCCCGGAGTCCATAGGCACACCCGTGAATGATCGTCTCGTGCATCTCAGACCGCAATTTCTTGAGAGATGGTGACTGCTTCCAGCTGCGGCTGTTCCATGGCTGCTCCAGGTCGATGTGGCAATATGGGATATTCTTGGCCTCTTCGTAGAACAAGAGGCAGTTGCGCTGAATGCGACGGGCCTGACGTATCTTATTCATGAGCTGCTTCCGCTGGTCCTCGGTCTTCTGGTTGAGGTTCTGAATCGGGCAGTCCGCGGTGCACGGCGGGCTGAGTACCAGACGTCTGGGCCTGGTCCGACGCAGGAGATGTGCAGCTCGTCGTAGTCCAGTTGCGGCTGCCATGTCGTAGCCGTTGAACAAACCACATCGTACGACCAGGCCACCTTGGGAGAGCACGGCTTGTCCGAGAGCTGACGTCTCGGGGCAGCAGACCTCCATCAAGTCGACGCGCTTCGTCTTCGTAAGTTCGAGCATGTCCGTCGCCACGTTCTGGTAGATCCCCTCATCGATCTTCTCCTTCACCTGGTAGAACTTCTGAAGGTCCGCCATGTCCAGGTGCTTCAGCAAGATCTCTTCTTCATGGCCTCCGACAGCTCGGAATCGTCCAGCATCGTGTCCTTCTCGTTGGGCAGGAACTCCCACGGGCCCTCGGGGTCCGTCTTGGCCAACTTCGTCGCGAGCCGCCTCCAGCGCATAGCCGCGGCTTGGCTCCTGATATCCACCGCCTGCGGGTCCTCGGGCTCCACCATCTTGAGGCACTGATGGCTCTTCCCGCCCGTGCAGCTGCAACCCCGCTTGGTCCGATTGGGCGCCCCGCAGCATGAACACTTCGATCTCGGAGGGGCCAGTTGCGCCGGTGTCGGCGGTGGCGGCGCGCAGGTCCCCGTCTGCGCTGGCAGCGGCGGCGGTGGCATGCTGGCCACGGCAGCCAACATTGCTGGAGGAGGTGGCGGTCCGTAGATGGGCACCAGTCGTAGGCAGTAGTGGCTCTTGCCCCCCACGCAGCTGCATCCGCGCTTCGTCCTCGCTCTCTCGCCACAACATGAACACTTCCCCGCTGGGTCGTAAGTCGATGTCGGAGTTGACGGACTGTTGATGGGAGGTGCCTTCGGCAGTGCTGGTGTTGGCGTAGGTGGCGCCGCTGTTGAGGTAGCCGTCGAGCTCGCTGGCGCTGATGACGCCTCCGTTGGCGGGGCCCTTGACCGAGGGACTGCCCACGCTGGCCGCGACGCTGGCGGCGGCGGCGGCTGCCCCGATGAGGGCGCCGAAGAAGATTTGCTGCATGACATCCACGGAGTTGGAGCCGCTGTGGCTCGAATATGTAGGATATGAAATGGAAACTGAACGGCAGTCCACACACGTGGGAGCGCAACGCTCTTGGGCCACACGAGGCTGAGGCTCGGACTTGGTTATCTCTTGGACCTTTCCCAGGCTCTGTTTTGATGGCGTGGTTCCCCTTGGGCTCCCAAGTAGCTCTGACGTAGGAGGTCCACTGCATCTGGTCCCAAGAGTTCCCGTTGATCCCGTCAAACACCTACAGTTAGAACAGCTCGGAGATAGCGTTTTCATTTGTGAAGTTCGGGTCTCGTTCGAAATCGACGACGGTCTTGATCGGCTCGATGTCGGCATCGGTAACGTGCGTGTTCGACTCGTCTCCGCAACTCTCGTAGAACTAGAGGTTTGGCTCGGTGATGAAGGGGTCTCGGACGATGCTGGAGGCTTCTCGCAGCGGTCTTGTCGACAGGGTCCTCTCGAGGCTTCTGGAGGATGACGTTTGGGCCCCCCCGATGATGAAGATGACGATGGAGATGGAATCTCGCTCGCCGCCACCACCAGGGGGTGCTGTCCCTAGCGCACGGCAAGACCGCCAGCGCCGCCCGTGCCGGGCTCCTCCGGCTTCTCGCCCAGCACGGCCAGGCCCGCCTCCATCGGATTCTCCGTTGAGCGAGCTGGCGTCAAGGGTAAGGGAACCTCTCGCCACCACTGTGGCGTCGACAGGTTGATCGCCAGGTGCTTGCTGGAGAGCCGCTCGCAGTAGAAGACCTCATCCCCAAGAGTCGGCAAGCCCAGCCAGTTCCGCCCACAGTCCACGACTACCTTCAGGTCGTCAGTCAGGATGTCCATGCCCAGCAGGATGGGGACCCGATTCGACATCACCGAGAGGCTCACGGGGTACAGGTTGGGGCCCACGAACACCTTGCCAGTGACCGACCCCATGGAGCTCTTCCGAAGCCCGTTCCCGAAGGTGAAGGAGCAGACCTCGTCCTTCGTCTCGAACTCGACCCCGTGCTGATCCAGCATCTCGTACATCAGGTTCTCCACGCTCTCGATGCCGCCTAAGCTCCTGGTCGCTCCGATGTCCAGGATGGCCCAGATCCCCTCGCGCTCCAGCAAGTAGACGTACTCGTCCAGGGCCGACAGGATGAAGCCGTTGTGGGTGTTGTGGCTATCGCCACTCGTGTTCGTCGTCAGCTTGTTCTTGTTCGGGCAATCCCTGGCGCGATGACCGAACTGACGGCACAGGATGCACTTCATCTTGGCCATGTCACGGCCTGACTCGAATCGCACACGACGATCGGCTTGACCCCGTCCACGTCCCTTGCCAGGAGGTCGCGGTCGGCTCTCGGGATGAGGCCGAGGGGGCGGTGCCGCCCGCTGATCCGTCAGCTCGCTCTTGGGCACCACCACCGGGTAGAAGTCCCGAGCCACACGTACTTGTCGAAGTAGATCTCGAGCGTCCTTGAAGCTCCGTCCTTGTGGTGTTGTGTCCTCGTTTTGAAGAGAGCGCCCTGCGTCTCCTTCTCCTCCTCCCTCCTCCTCCCTCCTCCGCCTCCTTGCTTTGGCCCTCTGGACGTCTCTGTTTCAGCACACCCCTCACACGTTCCGTGATCCGATAGGGAGCTCCTCCGAAGGTCCCAGTGGCGCAGCTCGCAGGGCGTCGCCGCCCCAGTTTGGCACACCCCTCACAGATTTCGTGGCCCCATAGGGAGCTCCAGCGAAGGTCCTAGTGGCGCAGCTCGCATGGCGCCGCCGCCTCATGTTGGTACACCCCTCACACGTTTCGTGGACCCATACGGAGCTCCACCTAAGGTCCCAGTGGTGCAGCTCGCATGGCGCCGCCGCCCCATTTTGGGACACCCCTCACACGCTTCGCAGATCCATAGTGAGCTTCTCTTAAGGTCCCAGGGGCGCAGCTCGCACGGCGCCGCCGCCCCATTCTGGCACACCCCGCACACGCTTCGTGGCCCCATAGGGAGCTCCACCTGAGGTCCCAGAGGCGCAGCTCGCATGGCCCCGCCGCCCCATTTTTGGCATACCCCTTCTTAGGTTCCGTGCCCTAACAACCTTAAGGCCCTAGTATCCGAACACCCTACGGCCCGAAGCCTTTAAGACCCGAATGTTCTGGGGCCATAACGCTCTAAGACCCTCAGGCCCTAAGGCTCTAATTCCCTGGGCCCCGAAGACCCTGAGTCCCCGAGACCCTAAGACACGAAGACACTAAGACCCGAATAAGCGAATACCTTGAGACCCTGATATCGTAATACATCAGTGCCCTAATACCATAAGACCCTGGTCCCCAAATTGTTTCAGACATGAAGCCCGGAGACCCAAACCGTATGACTCTAAGGCCCCAGCGCCCTACGGCCCGACTGCCATGATACACGAATACCCTAGTAGTACTACTATACCCTAACACCCCGATTGACAAATACCTTAAGACGATGGAGGAGGAGGAACAACGGTGGTGGATACGACGACGAATTTGGCTGCGACGAGCGGGGCTACCATCTGGGCTCCGACGGACAGTTATGTGGGAGGAGGAGACGGCGGTGCAACAATGGCGGCTACGACGACGGTGGTGGCTGCGATGGGTGGCGACGACGACCCAATTGCGACAGCGACGGGGCAACGGGGGAATACCACCACGACCACACCACTCAGTTACACTAACCCTTGGGAGTGGGAAGGGGCCACCAAGGAGGTAGAGCAGGCGCTATCTGCATGCCTCGAGGGATCCAGACAGGAACGACTCAGGGTCTGGAGGCAAAAACTACAGGCAGACGGGCTCGGCAAGACCACGGCAGCCTGGATACGGAACCAAGTATCGTCTTATTCCAACACGGCAGTGCAAGACCCTACACGGAAGGTTTTGCAGGGCTCGGCTCGACCTACGTTGCCACGAACTATTTCGATCAGGATGCTGTGAACCGTGTCAGAGATTATTACGACCAACATTTTTACGCTTGTGGTCTCGGGAATAACGTGCAGGGATATCTTGATTCTTACCAAAATATCTGGATAGCGCCCGGGATGATATTCAGCAGGCTCAGGACCTCCAACACCACCACGCTCGACATATCTTCGCTACGGCTGGGCCCTTGGACCCATGGAGAGCACCTGAGGCAGTTGAGTTTCGATGGATGTTTCACGGAGGAAAGGCCCACGGCCCCGACCAATGGTGCCCAGAAGAGCTGATCCTTCTACCAGACGACGCCCTCGTGGAGCTGATTCACATCTGCGCCGAGGCTGAACAACACGGCTGGCCGCCCCAGCTCCTGCAGTGGAGACAGATACACATTCCCAAGGATGAGTCGGCAACCATGCCGGTACTGACGCGACTCCGTCCCATAGCAATCGCGAGCGCGGTTGTGAGAGCCTGGCATCGCTGGAGGGCTGCTCAGCTCACCGAGTATATCCAACCTGCTTTCCCTGACACGCAGGGTGGGGGGATGAAGGGCCGCACCCTCGAGCAACTCATCGAGCCGTGCCTCTCCCGGCTCGAGGAGACGATCACCGCCAACAGGCTGGACGACACGTTTGAAGCGACCCCAGAACAGCAAGCTCTCCTTCAGCAGCGCCGGGGTGAGCTGCACGTCACATCTTGGGACTACGAATCGGCTTTTGACCGAGTCTCCCCGCGCCTCGTCGGCGCGATATGGCGGCATCTGGGCGTCCCAAGCGAGATCACCAACAGCATTGTATACGTATGGGAACACCAGGAGCGCTGGATTGAGCTGGGCCCTATCCTCTCAGACCAATCTATACTCGTCTCCAACAGCCTGCCGCAAGGGGACCCCGTTGCTATGCTGGCGATGGCTACGGTTCTGGTGGGACCACTGCGAAGAATCGGCATGATTGCTCCGACGGCCACGTGCTGCACTTACGCGGACGACCGGACCGCCATGACCGACACAGCAAAAGACATGCAGCGCATACAACAAGAATGGGACCACCTAGAGAGCTTGACGGCTCTACGGACCAATCACGCCAAGACGCAGAGCTTCACCATCTACCCAGATCGTTGTGGAGCCGCACAGCTGACTTGGATGAACATGAAGATTCTGGGCCTGGATCTCAATCTCCACAGAGCCCGACTGACCAACAGGGAACACCGCAAGTTCTTGGAAGGGTGCGTGCGACTCCGACGGATCGCCTCTCTGCCTCTATCGCTACGACTACGACGGCTTGCGGTTACTGCGATGGCATTACCTGTGTCGACATGGGCGCTGGTTCTCACACCGCCTACGAAAACTGTGATCAACACCCACCAGCAGTTGGCACGACGGGCGGTGTCTCTCAGGAGGTGGAGGGGTGCGGCCCCAGAACTACTCCGCATGCTTCTCATGGGGCATCAGGCAGACGCGCGGTGCCACCTCTGCCGAAGATCCTTACAGCTACTGCGGTGGCGGCTGCGCCGGCAGGGACAGGATGCCCTCGCCTTCCGGGGCCACGCTGTCACGAGCGCGCAGACAAAAGGACCGATTTTCGCTTATAAGGCGCATCTGGCTACCACTGGTGCCCAACAGAACGGCAACTGGGAATGGAGGGGACCTCAGGGAAGCCTCCGGCTCACCGACGGGACAGGCAAGCAGCTGCACGAGCTTCGCCTGATCCTCCGATCCAACGAATGGTCTGTGTTACAGAACAGGACTCGCCGCGAGAGCCCTCTGGCGGCGGGCGCTCCCTTTCCGACGAATGCCCTACGGGTCGCCCAGGACGCATTACGGACAACTCCTGACTTGGCCTCGCACATCACTGCAGTATTGTGCGGGTGTGCTGTGTCGGACGCCCTCCTGCAATCCCACACGGCAGGAGAGGCATCGGATAAATGCGACCACTGTGGCGGGCCATGCGTGCCCACGCTCGAACACCACTACTGGGAATGCTCTGCCAACGACGACCTGCGACGGGGCGTTGCTGTGCCGACAGCTGGCTTGACCCGCCGCCCGGGCTGGCCCACGACAGAGCTCACCAGGAAGACAGCAACAACGACCTGGCTACCTATGGTGTTCACCATGGCACGGGTACGGCAGCGGGTATTACACGCTCGGTTTGCCACGACACATGAAGGGGGAAGCCGGGTGCGTAGGAACACTGCCCTACAGCCCGGGAGGGAAAACCCATAAATACAACGGGGACCACAACCATAATTGGGAACACTGCCGTTGGGGACACCACACCCTGACGTGACATTGGGATTGCATTATTGCGGTGCATTGCTTTTGTTATGCCGGGAGGGGCCGCTCCCATTATCCCACGGTCGCCGAGGTCATCCCTCGTGGCGCTGTACGACCAGCGCTTCCGGTTCAACCCCCACAAATACCTTGAGAAGTTAATGCCTTGACCCAAATGCCCCATCGTCTCAAGGCACTAAGACCCGACGGCCCTGCGACCCTAACGCGCATTACCTCAATTCCCGATGGCCCGAGTACCCCATTTGGTTTCTTTAACAGCGTAGTTCCCTCATACACTGATACACGAATGCCGCGCTATCTTCATGCCATAATACCCGAGGGCCCCAAGACCCTAACACCCGACGCTCGTAAGACCTTAAAGTCCGAACGCACTGAGTCCCCAACACCTGCAGACCCGAACACTGAAAACCCTAGCACCCTCAGAACCTCAGGCCCCAATGCCTTAAGACCCACAGATCCGAAGCCTCTAAGGCCATGATACCGTAAGCGCCTACGACCCGAAGGTCCTAAGACAATACTGCTGAAATGCCATAAGGCCCTAAGGCTCTAATACTCCTAAAAGCCCAACACCCGATGTTCTTGACACCCCAGGGCCCTAAAACCTCAGACCCGAACACACAGAATACCTACGGCCTTAATCTCCGAACGCCCTACGACCCTAAGTCCCGAAGGCTTTAAGACCTACGACCCCGGGGCCATAACGCTCTAAGACCCTCGCGCCCCAAGGCTCTAATATCTGAGCGCTTAGAGACCCTGAGTCCCCGAGACCATGCGGCGCGAAGGCTGTGAGACCCGAGTCGGCGAATACATTGATACCGGATATCGCAATACATCAATGCCCTAACGCGATAAGACCTTAATCCCCCAATTGTCTGAGACACGAATGCCAGAAGACCAGAAGACCCCTAACATCTAGTGCCCTGAGTACACACAAACCCCGTGACCCTGAGACCTCAGCGCCCGAATGCCCCCTAACACCCGGATAGCCAAATACCTTAAGACGCTAATTCCCTGACCCTAAAGTCCCATCATCTTAAGACCTTAATGCCCGATGGCCTTCAGACCCGAACACCCTTCACCTCAATGCGCGAAGGCCCGAATGCCTTAGACACCTTATACCTTCATACCCTATTTCCCTCATACGCTGATACACGAATGCCTCACTACTTTTAGTACCATATTACCCGAAGGCCCCAAGACCCAACAACGCTATGACCCTGAAGCCCGCACATCCCAAGGCCCTAACACCTGCAGGCCCGAAAAGTTAAAGCCGTCGGACCTTGGCCCCCACCCAGCGCCCCAACACTTCGAGACCCTGAGACCCGGAGGCCCTAAGACCCTGAGAACCTGACGCCGTGACACCCAAAAGCCTAAGGCCCTAAGACCCTAGGATGCTAAGATCCTGAGACCCGAAGACCCTTCGACCCCAGGGCCCCATGACCCTAATGCCCCAGTGCCCTAAGACCCGACTGCCTTAATACCCTAAGACCGCAGGGCCCTAATACTTAAACGCCTTAATAAACGAATCCATTCATACCCAAACACTCGAATTCAGGAACATCCTAACACCCAATTGCCCTACTACCCTAACACCCTAATGCACGAAGGCCCTAAGCCCCGAAAGCCCTATCGCCCGCAGGCCCTAAGACCCTACTGCCCGAACGCCTTCAAACCTTAATACATGAGTACTTGAATGCCCGCCTTAGTACCCGAAGACCCTAAGGCCCTGAGACCCGAAGACCCGATGCCCTACGACCCTAATTTCTTAAGGCCCTAATGCTATAAGGCCCTAGTGCCGACCCTGACCCCGAGACCGTAAGACCCTGAGACCCCTGAACCCGAAGACCCTAAGACCTTCATAGTCTCACACCATAGTTTCCCAACGCCTTAATATACAAACACCACTATACTAACACCCGAATGCCCGAGTGCAATCATACCTTAGTGCCCTGAGACTGTGGTTGGAAATCCTTAGTAAGGCGTCCTCAATAAGGGATCCGGAGTGAGGAATTCTTGATACGAGGTCTTGAACACGGTGTCGTTAGTGAGGCTTTCTTACTAAGCAGTCCTTAGTGAGGAATCTTCAGTAAGGAATCTTTCGTACGTAGCGAGTGCTTCCGAATGAGTCCTTACTAAGCAGCCTTTGGAAGTGAGTCTTTCGCGCGTCACAAATCCTTACGAAGGAATCTTCACTGAGGAATCCTTAGCGATGAAACTTCAGGGGTGAGCCCTGTGTAAGAAATCCTCAGTTCTTAGTCCGTGGTAATAAGTCATTTAGTAACGAACCCGTGCAAAATAATCATTCGTAAGGAGTCGTGAAGAAGGAAAGCACGCCAATACGCTGCGTAGTAAGGGGTTCTTATGAATGAATCCTTACCAAGGGTTCTTGATTAAGGTGGTAGGGCCTCCTTAGTGGGGAATCCCGAGTACGGAGTTCTTAATAGGGCATCCTTAGTGGAGAGTCTGTATTAGGAAATGGTTAGTAGAAAATCCATCGTTGGGAATCCGTAGTAGGGATTCCTTACCAGGGAATCTTGCGTATGGCTGTAGGGGCCCCTATAAGTATCCAGATGTATAGAGATTTTGCAAGGACCCGTACAGGTTGCGCGCTTCGCTGGCGCGCACATGCTTCATCGAGAGCGCACATCCATGGGGCCGTGTAAGCACGCTCCATAGGATTGGCAGGTTTCACGTTTAGTTTGAGGGGCCAGTTGAGTTGCTGGTTTGCTGGTTGTTGGGGTCGGTGCCAAGCCCAGGGGCTCTAGGTCCATGGTCGTTCCTGAAGGACAACCATTGACCTCATTACCCGTGCAACAGGGCTCTAGGTGCAGGGTCGTTCTTGTTGTTGTTGTTGGTAGTGGTGTTGGTGTTGGTGTTTTTGTTGATGGTGTTGTTGTTGCTGTTGGTGGTGTTGTTGTCGTCGTTCTTGCTGTTGAGCTCTCCTTTTGCAACAGTTATCACTGTTGATCTCCCCGCTGGTGACTATTGGGTTTTTCAGTTCAAGTGCTCTTCCCAGGATTCGCAACCCTGCATTTGTACCAGGGACCGCGTAGTGTCACCAAGCTGTGCCGGTGGCCTTCTGTGTGCAACAACAGCGGCCCCCCAACGTATTTTAAATTCGCGTTTTCGCGCGGGACATCTTCAGACATTATGCAGGAATCGCGCTCTCGCGTGGGACGTCCTCGCAATTGATTTAAGCGTCGCGCCTCCAACCCTCAGGAATCGCGCTCTCGCTTGTGTTGTTCTCACGATTTACTTGCTAATCGCGCTATCGTTCGATACTCCCCCGCTATGTATGCAGCACTCATGCTTCAACAACCCACCTGCTCGCCGCCTGGGCCCGCCTTTCTGACCCGCCCGCTAGGGTCGGCCCGCCCGATCTGCCCGTCTAGTTTTACCTCGTGCTTTCTGCTCGCTGCCCCCGTCTTGATAACTTTTCTCGTGCTCCATTTTTCTACCTCCCCCTGCCATCCGTCCTCACTTCCCCTGTTTAGGGGCTGCGCCAATTACACGCGGCAGGTAGGGAAGATCTACCCCCAAGGAGGGGACGATCGAAGACGAAGAGGGGGAGTACCGAGGGTTTGGGATATACGCGTTTAGTGGCACCCGAGCAGAGCAGAGCGAACAGTCTTGAAATGTTTGTTGATGCTGTTGCTGTTGTTGTCGTCGTCCTCCTCCTCCTCCCCCATGGCGACCCCCACGCGACCCCTGTGCGACCCCACCAGCGACCCACCCTGCGAACCACCCCGCAACCACCCGCGGCCCGCCCGAGCCTCGTTCCTCGTCGTCACTCGGCGGGGATCCCAAATGGGGGAAATGAGAGGGAACAGACGGTCTCAGAAGGCTGCGGGGTTTCTTAAAAGAACTCCCGCCTTTGAGAAGCCGTTTCTGTCTTCGGAGAAGGTTTAGAAACTTCTCAGAAGGCCCAATCTGAGAAGGCCTGCCCCCTACTTCCTCGGTAGACACTCATGGGATATTTGCGTACTCTCGTAATTGCATCTTTCGATTGCACTAGAGTCGATTATAATATGGTAGTCGATGAGGTAGCGCCGATGTTGCTCCGATTATAGATTAGTCTCGACCTAGCGTCGATTAGTGTCGATCAGCGTCGATCCGTGCCGATTCGCATGAGACAACAAGATGGTACGTGAGTTGCCGCAGAAACTGTCATGGAGTTCTGCACGCGGGAGGGTTTCTGAGCACCCCTCGCCGTGCAGGCCCGCCAGGCGCGAGCAGGAGGACACTGAGACGCGTGGAGGAGGACAAGGAAGGATGAGGGACGAGAGAAGGACGAGGAGGCTTCCGTGAGTTGCCGCAGGGAGCATTTCCCCATTGGGTTCGCCGCCGACCCTGGCATATGCCCTCCGATAAGATGTTTTCAATCTGCGGCCCGAGAGGTCCCGACCCCTTCCCCGGGGGTAGTTTTGCGCCACAGACCCGTTTTTGATGGTTCCGAGGCCCGATAACGGGCCCTGGAGACCGAAATCGAAGAAATCCGCTTGGATTGAAAAATCAACACATTGTAGGAGAACCGGGGAGATGGCTGCCCACGTGCGAATCCTACCCCTCCACCCCACGATTTGTAAGGGGGGAGGTGGGGTTCACTTTGTTCGGGACCTCCTGAGCGAAGTGACCCCCACCTCCCCCCTTACAATCGTAGGGTGGTGGGATAGGGGTCGCATGTGGCCTCCCGGGAGAGCACGTCTCTTGGCCTCCTAGATGGGGTCGGAGTAGCTGGGGTCCGAGGATCGTGCCGCATCGCCCATGCATCGGCGATGTATCGCCGTTGCGGCTCGATGTGGTGCCCACTTTTCTCCACTCCGACGTCGCCGATGCATCGCCGACGCCGCCAGTGCATCGCCGACGTACCGGCGATGCGACGAGATCCTCCGACCCCATCTACTCGGACCCCATCCAGGAGGCCTCTAACTTCCCCGCTGGGCTCGCCGCCGAGTCACCCTTCCCTTCGGCCGAGGCGGGCCAGGGGAGGGGGAGCCCTTCCACGCGCGTGCGGCCGGGCGCCCTGCGATCGCGCGGCCGAGGTCACCGCCGGGCACGGCGCGGCGCCTGAGGCCGTCCATCGGCGGCGAGCCCGGGCCGCAGGCCGCGGAGGAGGCGGCGCCGGCCCGAGGGAAGCCCTGCTCCCAGACCCCGCTCGGGCCACGAAGAAATCACGACAGGAGCTTCTGCGCCATTTTCGGCCTCTGGGGGCCCTTGCCTGGCCTCGGGGCCGTCAAGCAAGGACGCAGGATGAAAAAGTGGTCCTGGGGAAGAGGTCGAGACTTCTGAGGGTGGACGTTCTGAGAAAATCATGCCGTCGGGGGTCTGGGAAGAGGGGGGGCCCTCAGATCCAGGGGTTGAAAGTTTGTCACACGGGGCGTCTTCGCCCAGTTTTTGGCTCCAGGGCCGTCCCCGCTCGATCCGGCTCGAGAAGTGACGCAGAACGATGGGGTCCGGGGGGGCTCCGGTGGTGTTTTTTATGTTTCGATTTCTTGGCAACTGAGGCTCTAAGCTCGGGGGTTGCCACGAGGGGGGAGGTGACGCGGGAGGGGAGACCTCATGGCGGGGGCCAGGACCTCCTAATTAGCCCCAGCCCAGGGGTGCTCCTTCTCGAAGAAGAACTACAACTGCATAAACATTATTTTTGGAGCTTCGCGAGGATTTCTTGGGTCTGCGCCAGGGCCCCGCTGGACGGGTCCAGCGAGGATCCAAGAAGGCCGCGCGGACCTCCAACAGCTTATGTTTATGGAATTATTTATCATTTTGCTTCTCTCAACCTGGGGGTGGCCAAGAGGGGGGTGATGAGTTTGGGGGAGATATCATGGCGGGGGCCATGGAACCTCCCCAGGTTGCATGGCCCCTCTTCTTATTCCATTGCGTTCCCTGGTCCTCCCCTCGCCCGCGCACATGCCTCATGCGATGATTTGTGAACCCCCCTCCTGGACGCCACCCTCTTGGACGCCCCCGATGAGCTGGAGTTGTGGGTTCTGGGCCTCCCAGATGAGGTCCGAGCAGGTGGGGTCGCCGCATCGCCGATGAATCGAGGATGCGGCTTGATGCTGAGCTAGATTTTCTCCACGCCGACGTCGCCGATATGCGTCGCCGATGCGCCGCGATCTTCCGACCCCATCTGCTGGGACCCCATGTGGGAAGCCTCGCAATCGTTTGTTAATTGTGCCAACGCGCGCAATAATTCGAACAATTGCGGGAGCGGTGCGGACTCTTTCAAGGCAGCAGCTGTTGTATGTGAATCAGGTAATGCGGCTGCATCCGCGCGCAACTAATGCATCCAGCGCGCAAGTGGTTGCTTTCACGCACCAGCTCTTGAAAGTGCTATGTCACCTCTCCCCGCGGATCCACCTACGCCAGACCCACTACTCCGACTTCAAGTCATTCTCTATCCGAGCGGTCCGTTTCTTGGGCCTGACTTCGGATCCGCCGTATTTCGAGTGATTTCGTAAGTATGGCGGGCATTCCCGCCCTGGTTTTCAAGCTCCTGTGATGCCGATTCCGCCCTACTCTTACCGTTTCCGAAATGTGTTTGCGGAGCGTTGTTTGTGTGATGCGTCAATATCCGCCTCTGTGTTCACATCGTTTGGGATGCATTTCCGACACGTTTGATGTAAGTCTGGAGTTCGACCAGAGCACGGCGGATCCGCAACCAGGGATCAAAGTGTGCCGAAGGTTGCCTTGGGGCCTTCTCAGGCCCTGGCCCAGGGGGGGGGGGCATTCTTGACCAGATCGGTCCGAAATGTTGGGGCGTCTGGGAGGGCGAGGACTACCTGTCGGCGGCGAGTCCTGGGGGGAAGTGAGAGGGGGCGGGCCTTCCAAGAAGGCTCGGAAGTCCCCCAGCCTTTTAGCGCCGCGGGGCCCAAAGGGGCCAGGTGACCAGAAAACGGTCCCTGGGCCATCCTTGGGTCCCCCTGCTCCGGCACGAATTTGTCACGAAACTTCCCCCGACCTGTCATTGGAGGGCTGAGGACTTCAACTGTCCACACCGACTCCCACCCCGACCAGAGCGCGGCCTGCCATACCGACCAGCTTGCCCACTCCCTCATCGACCAGCTCGCTGTTTCCCACGCCGACCAGCCGACTCCCGCACCGACCAGATCGCGGCCTGCCGCGCCCGCCACCTCATCGACTCCCGCACCGACCAGCTGGATTCTACCCCAGCCAGATCGCGGCCTGACGCTCCGACCAACTTGCCAGCTCCCTCGCCGACCAGCTCACCGATTCCCACGCCGACCAGCTCACGGACTCCCACGCCGAACAGTTCGATGACTCCAGCGCCGAGTGGCTCGCCGACTCCCGCATTGACCAACTCACTGGCTGCCGCGCTGCGCGCTGAACAAATTGGGCTGCTCCCACGCCGATCAGCTCACCGACTCCCGCGGCGACCAGCTCGTTGACTCCGGCATCGACCGGATCGGGACCTGCCGCACCGACCAGTTTGGCGGCTCCCTCGCCGACCAGGTCACTGACCCCTGCGCCGACCGGATCGCGGCCTGCTCCCTCATCGACCAGTCCCCCGGCCCCCGCGCCGACCAACTCATCGACCCCCTCGCCGGCAAGCTCACCGACTCCCGCGCCGACTAGTCCACCGACTCCCGCACCCAGGCCTGGCTCGGACCATGCACTTGCGCCAGCGCTAGACATCACAGCAGACCCGAGGACACTCCTGCATCGCGACCGCGCCAAATCCGACACAGACTCCACCTCCAGTTCCACCCTGCACGACGGATGCCTCGAGCAGCACGACAGACACCAACAGTTTTACGACCACCACGTGCAGCGCGACGGCTACCATGAACAGCACGGCCAGCTTCCTTGACTCCAGCTTCAACGCCTGCGTCGACTACGTCTCCGGCGTCTGATCCCGCTCCGACGCCAGCTCCAGAATTCGATGCAAGACCCTGTCGTGGGCGTTGCGCAGCCGGTATCCTGGACTGACCAGTATCATGATGCCCGTCGCCAGGCGCCTTTCGGCCACCACCCACCCCTGAGACGGCTACCAGCACTTGTGCTACATCTACTTGTACCTCTACTTGGCCGATAACTCGTGAGCCCCCGTACCGCCTTTTTGCCATCCTCTACTTTGGTGCCCCTCCTCTCCCTCCCTCCTGCTCCGCACGCAGCGCCGCTACGATGACAGGGGATTGGTGGTTGGGTCAGCCGCTGAGACACGTGATGCCACGGCTTGCCGACTTAGGCCGAGGGCGGGTGCCCTGCTATTTGTATGATTCCCAGTTCCCTTCTCCTTCTCTGCCTCCCCGTCTGCTGCCCTCACTTACTCGCGTTGGGCACCTGTGCGGGCCCCGCCTTCATCGCCATCTCGGAACACGCACGCGCGAGCTTTCTCCACGTGGCGCTGTTCAGTCGTGTTCAGGTCGGTGCCCCACCGTGTGGGCGTAGGCATTTACGGTCCCGATCCGTACATTTTTCTCGGGTTGTGCGGGTTGTGCGTTCCAGCATGTGCGTTCTGCTTCTGCGCGCGACGTGCGCGCGAGTAACGGGACCTCCGCACTGCACCGTGGAGGGACACGTGGGAAGTTGAAACAATGTTCTCTAAGCCTTCCCCGGAATCGCAGACAATTTCTCGCAGGGTTTGAGGGCTTCGGAGAAGTCCCGCCGCCTTCTGAGAAGGCCTTCTTCTTCGCATACCCCCCCCCTTGCTCGCCGCAAAGTCTGGACGGGCGAGGGCGTCGGCATCGAGGCCTGGGGCCGTGGTGCCTCTCAGATTTCGACTGCCCTTACAATGAGGACCCCCCTTTCTCTTGTTGTATTCGTCCACGCACATGCCTCGGGCCCTGATGCGCCCCCACCCGCATCCTGGCCGCCCCTCTTCGGCACGCCCGAGATTCGAGTTCGGTTCTAGCCGGCTCGGCCAGATTCGGTTCCGATTCGGGTGTTGGTAGAAGTGCCCCTGCGGCCCAATGTGCCGCCAGAATTACCAAGGAGGCCCCCGCGGCCTCCACAGCACCCCTCACGAGGCCCAGGGGGGCCCAGGGGCTCCAAAATGGAGCGACAAGCTGGGGGGGCACCTTGGGCTAGGGCCACCTAAAGCAACCTCCGACCGATGTCTATGCTGTAGCGATCTGTTGTTGCCCCCGCTGCCTCCATCCCGGCGCGGTCGCGCATCCTGGCGCAGCCGAATTACCCGATTCGATCTCAGCTCCGTGCCGATGTAGCCGGTCCGACGTACATTCCGTATCGGTCGGATCTCCCGGCCGCGCGCAGGAGTGGCCCCTCTTCGCCGGAGTGCCCAGGACATCTCCGGACCGTTCTCGTCGGCCTTCGGCGGTCTGCCAGCATCGGGTCCGCTGTCCAGCAGCTGCGCCTGGCCGAGAGCGCCCTGGGGGTGCCCGATCGTCCCCGAGCGGCCGCTGGAGGCCCGAGCTACGTGTGGTCCGAAAGGCAGAGGAGGATTCCGGCTACACGTAAGTGGGAGGAGGGTTCCGGCTACACGTAAGGGTGGCTTGTTCTTCGCCATAGTGACGGTGCGGGTCGGACGGGGTCAAGACGAGGACAAATCCGTTCCACAGCGTTCCGGAACGCTCCCTGAGCGTCCCGGAACGTTCCGAGAAGGCCGCGGCGCTCGATACATCTGAAATTCCAGAGCCGCCAGAATTCAAATATTCCCGATTCATTATCACCCGAATTTATCCTCGTGCTGGCTCCGTCTTCGCGGGGGCCGCCAGGGCCCCCCGATCTCCGAGCGCGACGCTCATGAGCTAACGAATTATCCCAGCTAAGCAACCTAACAGCCATGTGTATGAGCATATATGGAAGCATTATTGTTTAGATTCATGTTCGGATTTGACTGGAAGCGAAACGCTGCGATCAATAGTGGACGTGTCTGCAAAGGAGGCACTACTATCAACGAGACAGCACTTTCTTTTTGTGCGCATTCCAAACGAGACGCTGCTATGCAGGGGTGTAGGTGCAAACGAGACGCTGCTATCAATGGCTTCCGCCCCAAACGAGACACGAGTATCAATGGATTTGTTTTCGAACGAGACACTACTACTTACTACTACAGATGCGTCTGGAAACGAGACGCTGCTATCAATAGTGGATGTCTCTGCAAAGGAGGCACTGCTATCAACGACGCAGCA